TATGTCCTCTAAAACATGAATTTGCTTGCTGGCTGGAACAATTTTTACATTTTCGACAGATGATGCGATTGCACTCTTATAAATCTTATGCAATTGCATATGTTTATTGTCATGGTGGCAGATTTCTTCAATACACAAAAAGCAGCTTAATTTTCTGAATTCAAGGAAGTCAGAATGAATATTCCAGAGTACCTGATGTACCGACATGGTTCCTTTAAATGGCGAAATATCCTTAGGCAACATAATTTCTTTTTCTATAATGTCAGCTTCGTTGACTACTCTTATTTCAACGTTTTTAACGTTTTCTTTTACGACGGCAAGAAACTTTGTAAAGTCACCAACGTCATTTCCACATTTTACCTGATAATCTGCCGACCTTTTTACTACCGCACCAATGCCATCAGGTGCTCCTTTTCCGTGGCCGCTTTCTTGAAAATTCCATGTTACACATTTAAGAGATGGAAAAGTATTATGAAGTTGAGTAATAATGTAAAATATTTGTTTATTCCTGTACTGACTGGTTGGACTGTCTGTGAGAATATGAACGGTGGTAACGGATGAACACTTTTCAAATACAAATTTTAAAGCATTCTCTAAGTGGGCCCATACTGCTGGTGCATCATGTCGCGTACACTCGCTTACGGTACAGAAAGAATAGTGAGCATTGTCTCTTCCTTCCTTAAGGTAGGCCACTACCGTATGAAGAGAAACTTGTCCTCGGCTGCCTCCGAAGTGTAAGCTTTGTATTTCTTTAGCGAATTTATAACAATAATTTTCGGAGAAGTCCATATGTAGTAAAGTTTCATTAGGGCTCAGAGACTGTTTTATCATTGTTATAGCTTGGTATTGATTGAGTATATTCCCTGTATGAACAAAAAACTTCGGCAATGATGATTCTAATTTTTGTATAAGATTTCTAGGATTTATTTTTTGAGAAACTTTCTTGACAACGTTGATATCTTTGGCCCCGACTTTCTTTTTATCTCGGACCCATTCATAATATTCTATTTCTTCCTGGTTATCAAATTCTTTGTAAGCTATCGATTCATTTTTGCAGACATCACATTCGCGAGCAACACACTTAGCAGAAAATTTGGTGCAGCACAGGACTCCTAGCATTTCTTGATAATTTCTTAGATCAATAATTTTATTTTTCCTTAAAGCATGAATAATTAGGTCTATGTTAGTATGAGTAGTGCAAGCACACGTGTCTCTATCATCTCTAGGCAGATATACCCAAAATGGTCGAAGTCTTGAGAAAGTTACGTAACTGATTTTTATTAGAGGATTTTCTTCGAGAAACTTTTTGTGCAGATTTTTAATCGAGTCCAACATATACCGTTTCTGTTTCTGAATTCCATACTTTTTCACACATTGTTTCTTTCCTGCGCCAATACGACTATTGATATCATCTTCATAATATTCTTTAACTAATTTTTGAATATCACCCCCGCTTTTATTTATTTCTTTCAGAAACCTGTCATTTAAACACTTTTTACGAAGGTCTAAATTATTTTTCTCTTTTGTTTTAATTATATTTTTCGTTTTAGCCTGTACAGCTTCTTTATCACAATCAGAATGGGGTGATGGAGCGGGGAGTTCAAGATGATTATCATCGTTAATATTATCTTTTTTATTTTTTAGTTTCTGGCTCAGTATTTTATTTACTCTATTTAAAATTCCACACCTATTTTTATATTTTTTGATTAAAAATGACAATTCTTTTTTTTCTTTTAAATGTTTAAGCTTTAATAATTTAATCTTGTTTTTATAATACTGGGTTCCCTTTTTATTATCTGTTTTTATTGTACATTCCTTAAGAGGATCACTCAAAGAATCAACCGTTCCTTTACTATTTTCGGCGGCTGGAGAATCGTCAATATTAATTTCATTTATTTGTCGCTCCTTGATTTTTTTTTCTAAGTATCGTTTAGAACTTTCTTTCCATCGCCTCCTTTGGACTTTTTGTTCCCGTGGGGACATATCTTTTATGCTCTTTACTTTATTTTGAATTTTTCGTTTTAAATAGGCTTCTCTCTTTTTTTGCTGTTCAATAGAATATCTCTCTGGGTTGGCTTTTAATTTTTTATATCTTTCCCGCCGCGCCACCCTTTTTCTTTCCAGGTCTTCTTCACGAGATTTTCCCTTTGCCATTTTGACCTTAAACAAATTCGCAAAAAAAGATGTAAGATGCTTTTAGTTTGGACGGGCTAGATAACCTAAGCTTAAGTAACATGTAGGTAGGTACTCAAAAAGTTATTTTATTTAACTGCAAACGACTATGATTATATAATTGCAAGCTAATGTATTGGTAAAAAAAAACATAATCGGTACACGAGAGCCAGAGATTACCCCTAAGATCAAAAACTTAGAGGTGAAGTTATAATAAAATAAATAAATCATAGCTTTACAGTAGGTAGCAAGAAAACACAAGTGTGCATTATATAAGCATATAAGAAATTGATGATGAAAAAAAAATACTCGGATCATTTGGGTAAAATTGCATATCATTAGTGTCCCTATAAAATCGACACTAATGAGGCGACACAAATGATTTTTTGAAATGAAAATTGAAATATTTCGTCGTCGAATAATCTAGAAGCTATCGAAAAAATACACCGAATCTGTGTCACAAATAGCTATTCTTTGCACATTACTGCAATACTACTGAAAAATAACTATTGCCTGCATTGCACTGGACGCAAATGAATACATTTTGGGTGCAAGTATTGAAATCGAGTTGGACATAAGTTTCTTACCGGTTTGACGAAGCGCACGTCTGCTCTCGTCGCACGTTCACGCGTCACTGGGGCCCCTTAGCGCGCAGTAAAATGCAGGCATCGGGGTAAGCATTCGTTTTTTTTATATAAATTTAGAAGTTCGGGTCACACTAATGAGCATTAATGTTAATAGGCGCAAGAAAAGGCTGGGAAATCATATTCACGATTGCCTAATCTTTAAATAATTAATATAAATTAACGCCACAGTTATTCAAGTTTACCCCAATAAAAACAAATCGTAATATCCACTCGTCAATAATTTTTATTTGGACTTTAACTTGAAATACTCCGAAAAAGACATATAACACGAATGAAGTGATACATGGTTTTTTGTTATTTAAATTATTATTACTAGTTTCGACCAATAATTATGAAATGTTCTGTTCAAAGAGTTAATTTAAGGATAATATTGCGTGAAATGATGTCAACATAAATAATATCTTGAATTTTATTAGGAAAAACCTGTTTTCACGGCTTGTCTGAAATCGACCCGTATGACCCAACCAGTGTTACGGTGCACTGTTCTATAAATTGGGCTAGGTTCGATTCTCATCTACTATCCCAAATTACCATTCCCGTATTTAATTTAAAAATTTTAATATTTTCGTCACTCGTAGTGTTAATAATGCATTCTTACCATAGGTAAGATATGATAAAGTAAGTAATTGCAAACTGGTATTCATCATCATCTTCATCAGCATATTAATGTCCCCACTGCTGGGACACAGGCCTTCCCTATCGATGGGAGATGGGCCGTGACCCACCACGCGGGCCCAGTGCACATTGGCGGGTGTTAACGACTGCAGATGCAGCCGGGACCAACGGCTTAACGTGCCTACTGAAGCACGGAGGAACTCGAGATAGAAGATTTTTGGTCACCCATCCAATGACCGACCAGTGCGAAAGTTGCTTAACTTCAACGATCGCAGCCGAACGCGCAAGCCACCTGCGCCATCGAGTTCCTCTGGTATTACTTCAACAGTAATCATTTTTTTAACACGCAGCTTTAAAAATGTTCAGACGTAATAATCCATTTTGACAACCCTGAAAGTAGCTACCTTCCGAAACTAATAGATATAGGTACTTACTACAAACAATGTTAACGTATTCCTTCACTTCACTACGTAGCTATACCTAGATTCTATCCATTCGGAAAATCACCATCATTGTACAATTAACACCACACTACCAGATAATGACTCATTTATGGTAGCTTAGGTGCAAGATTAAACGCAGCGGTACATCTTATAGCTCACATTATGTGCAAGAGCGTTGAGAGTGTGACTGTTAAAAATAGTACCTAGTTATACTTAACTTTTGTTAATTAATAATATTAATGTGATGGAAGTTGACATCAACACATGTTTTCAATTTTTGATGTCATCTTTCAATTCACGACACTGTATGAAACAAAACAGAGAGAAAAAAATAGCCCTTGCTGAGTTTCTTGCCGGTTCTTCTCAGTACAAGGTCTCCCGCTAGATTTACGAACCGATGGCGTAGCGTTTGACTTTCAAAAGAGCTTGTAACAGCCTAGACAGAATAAATGAGTTTGAGTGGTAGCTGTATACATAAGTTATTGCTTTATTTGAACACGCCATCAGGTTTTGAACATTGTAACACTTTACGCCTTTTCCCTTATAATTTTACAATTGTCAGTCAGTACCGTTGCTATTAAGGAGTTGAAGGCGTTAAATCTCGTATTATGAGGTTTAGGAAGTAAATGGTATGAATGCCAGAGGCGGCCACAAGAGCTGTGAGGGGCGGCAGACAGTTGCTGAACAGGCAGGCGTTCAGTTGCCGAACTATAATATGATTTACTAGGGTACAAAACATAAATGGTCTGGGGAATCCGCCAGATTTCAAAATCTAAGCATAACCAATCAACTTGGTATGAATACTCATCTTGATTTTGATAGTACTTACTTATATTTAATATGATAAGTCATACAGACGTATCTCGTAGAATAAAGTTATGAACTTTCAAGATGTCAGTGTGAAACAAAGTAGGAAATCATTGGATATTTTTTTAAATTATATTTCCATGTTCTTAACAGCTTTTTAACCTAAGTAGACTAAACAATATGCAATTACCAATATCAATGATAAATATATTGCAGTTCATTTATGTGCACCCTAAAGTTACTTTATTGTTCTAGGCCCATAATATCATAATGATAAATATAAAAATGTTTCTGTGTCATAATTAAAAACCACAATTACCTAAATCAATAATTTAATCACCAGAAGAGCATACAACAAATTGTGTTTAAAGTCTAAATCAGAGTTAATTCACTTCTTGACTTCATCAATGGGATCCAGTTTGGGTTCTTCAAATTTAAAAGAAGGGAAGGCAGTCATGTCGACACCGGAACCGCCACCATACTGTTTCTCAAGCTTGTCGAGCTCAGCTTTCAGCTCTCTTTCAATTTCTGGGCTTGCTTCAACAAGTTTACCACCACTGCAACAAAACATTTTTATGCCGATAAGGATAATAAAATTGATAAGTCCTGCGCAGAAGTCACCACAAATGAAGATATTAATAAGTGTAACTTTTGTGACTTTAATGATGATATTTAAAAGTTAATAAACAACTTTGTTTCTTAAAGTAGACATTGTATTGTATTTTAAACATTTAACTGCTTGATCTATAAACCTAAAGAAAATTATACAAAAAAATCCACTGTTTTCCACAAATTCTAAAGTAGAAGGGATTAGAACAGCTATCCAGGCATATGCACTAACCAATTATACCATTGCTACTTTAAGGGATCTATCAAATTACAAATTTTTATTTTTTTTACTATCTCGATGAGCAAAACCTCATGCTTCTTCCAATTTTTATTAACATTTGTACAAATTTCTGTCTTATAATGTAACTGCCGTGGTTTAATATTTATGAAATATTCAGTCAGTCAGATATGCTGATAAAAATGAATAATCCTGTCGCAACTACAAAAATGATTGCAGGAAATATTCAAAGTAGACAGTTAAAAAGTGGTAGGTAGACTGCCTACCACCCTCCATATAAATTCAAACCTTGTCCTTTATCAAAAATTGTGCTTAAATTATATCTATCGATTATTGTGCATTTAAGATAATTATCTCAAGGTTGAAGATCACAAAGTTACTCACGCGCTCTTCTGCTTGTATTCCCTAACTTTGTCCAAAAAAAGCTGTTGGATGGGATCTGTGGCCTTCTGCGCGGCTGCCAAGTTTCTGGTGATAACAACAGAAGAGCGAACTGCCCTCAGGCCACAGAGAAGTGAAGAGCTAAGCATCTGAAATAATTGATACATAACCTTAGTGCATAGTTACATAACTTGTTAAATCTTAGAAGATTTTTCGTATATATGAAATCCATACGATAATATCCTAACTAACCGTTATAAAAGTTCCTTTTTTCACAAATTTAACAAGATTTATGAATAAATAAATTACCTTTTCTGTGTAAACTGTCTTCGGAAATTTTGACAGAATTAAAACTATTTTGGCAGTGGATACAAAGTCTTTAAGCCTAACTAAGTGCTTGCACGCACTACGACAAAAAATACCATGATAATTAAAAATCAAAATACCTCATACTTAAATTATCAGTGATTTTACTTTACAATACTGTAGTTTAGCCCAAGTAATAAAATAAACAGTAAAGATTTTCTACAATCGTCGAGCGACTATGACACGGGGATAGTTTACAAGTTACAAGCCAGAGAGTTCGCTAGCAGCTTGTAAGGCGGTACGCATACCAGACATACACTATTGTATTACGATAATTGTTACATTTGTAGCGGGTGCATTTAGTGGTGACACGAAAGCAAAAATGTAGCGTGTGTCATAAATTTTATCCTATTTAATTTTGAAACTTCTAAAAAGTAATAAAAAGCAAATGGAATTGAAATAAAACTGTTCAATAGACTCTTATTTCTTTATTTTGTAAGGAAAATAAAATATTTATAATTTCGAAGGTAGTTAAAGAACATTATTTATTGATTATTTAAATCAAAATATCAAAACAAAGTATAACAACTTAACTCACATATAACTTATCTATTATTTTAAGTTATATGATTACAGGGGTAATCTCTATTGTAAATGACAAAAATTATAAGTTAATTATATCATTATTATATTCAACTTATAATATTATCACAATAATATCATTCCAATACAAGTTAAAAACAATAATAGGAAGATTATTACTTAACTCACATGACGCTGATGCTTTAGGCTGCACACTGATATCCCTTGTCTCGATCAAAAAGTGAATGTCAAATCCACCAGACATCTGAATTTATACTTTTAGTTCCCACCTTCTCAAACAAATTAACAGTGGCGCCATCTTTTACAATGTAATTATTAAAGCCTATGGTAATGTAACAATTACATTTTATACTAACTTAAATCTCTTTAAAACATTCAAAGATAATTATCATATTATAAGTACAACAAAACATTGCTCCTTTCTTTAAAAGAAAACAAAAACGTATACTTATGATGGGCGGCAATGTTATCAACCAATAACAATTGGTATTTTATTTTGTAAAATATCTTCTTATCCAGACTAGAAATACATTATATATCCAACACAAACCTTCTTAAAAGTGATAAGGAATCTGTTAAAGGTTTTTCATGATTTAACAAAGCTTTGATACACATTTATAAAATAAAAGCATTTTGGCTAACAACTCGATGGTCGAGTCTACTTAAGGTATTCGCAAACGCCTGTGGATTTTATTACGAAGTTAACAGTGCAGTGAACAACAAGTTTTCCCCGGGTCCTGGCAGCAGACATCACCTTTTCCACGTCCTAAAAGGTATTTAGTACGTAGCTGTTTCTAATATTTTATAAAGTGATTATTTTTAATAATAAGAAAGAAACCCTTAAGCGTAATTCCTTATCACGGCCATTCTGACAAGTACTTCGTTCTCGAAGTACAAGTCACATAAACTGTGTATTCACTTAACTATTACATAGAACATTGCCCCAGCCTACTCCTCACATTGAGTGATCTGGCGACAACGGTCTTTTGCCTTGTCGACAGTTTTCTTGCCCCACACCTGCTGCACATGAGACGGGCTAAGAAAGGCATAAAGACTTCAGCAGTTCAGTTCATTAATACTATACAATACTATTACATAGAACATTGCCCCAGCCTACTCCTCACATTGAGTGAACTGGCGACAACGGTCTTTTGCCTTGTCGACAGTTTTCTTGCCCCACACCTGCTGCACATGAGACGGGCTAAGAAAGGCAAAAAGACTTCAGCAGTTCAGTTCCTCTTTTTTTTCTTTATTTTTTTAAATATAGGTATATGTTCCAGCCATATCTGCTGTCATACAACTGATCATCAGTTCATATTCACAATTCATATCACTTTATTTTTTTTATATTGCTCGACTTATTTAATTCAATTGAAACAATCATTTAAACGTCAAACATAAACGTGTACCTTAAACTAAGACATTTTATACAAACAATGTGTTAATTATTTTCGTCATTCTCATCAGCTAATTCACCTGGCCAAATTCTCAATTTGTCCTTAGCTACAGTTATGTTCCTCAACCCATTAATTCCTCTAAGCGAATATCTGTCAAATGGAAGGATATCAATTATTTCATACGGTCCTTTATGTGTTGGACTTAACTTATCATGACGACGATGATCCTGATTAACAAATACTATATTACCAATCTCAAAAATCGTGCTGTCTCTCCTGACAATGTCAAAACGAGTTTTGAATTTTTCTGCTTCTAAACGTAAACGCTGGTGAGCTAAATTACGATCCGTTCTAACATCTGTGTTATTTTCCGTAACACCTATACTATTTAGACGAGACTGAATACTTGGAATGTTTGCATTACGGCCGATAAGTAGTTGGATTGGTGGAAATCCTGTCGAATTTTGAATAGTAGTATTTAAAGATTGTTGCACTTTCCACAAACTGCTCGGCCAGTCTGACGAACCGTTGCAGATAGTATTAAGCATATCTATTACAGTTCTTACATATCTCTCTGCCTGACCATTCCCACGGGGTGTTCCAGTAGCCACCATATGGTGTTCTATATGCAATTCGCTAAATAATGTTACAATTTGATTCGAACTAAAATTAGTGCCTCTGTCTGTTATAACCAATGATGGAGTACCAAATAAAGTAACAGTTTCGCGAATAATTGATACAAGTTCCCGATCATTTAAAGTTTTAAGTGGTTTTAATTGACAAAATTTCGTGAATCCATCAACAATGAGCAAGACATACCGATATCCCTCGGCTGAAATCGTAAATGGGCCTGTGCAGTCTAAATGAATTGTATGAAATGGTACGGGTGTTTTTTCTATTGGGTGTAGATATCCTTGTTTAGGACCTGAATGTGACTTGCGTTGGATACATATCAAACAGTGTCTTAAGTATTTTTTGACAAATTGAACCATTCGTGGAAACCAAAAATGTTCTCTACGTTTTTTTAACGTTTTCTCAAACCCTACATGAAAATTTTCGTCGTGAAATAATCTTAAAAGTTCTAATCGGGCTGCTTTTGGAATATAAAACTTAGGTTCATTAGGTTTGTAATTATAAAGTAATAAATCATTATGCAAGAAGTACTGATTTTCATCTAGATCACCCGAAATGACTTGGCTAATCAAATTACGGGTTTCAACATCATTCTGCTGAGAGAGGGCTAACCATGTAGGGGGCTCTTCAATTAAGTTAACTACAAGGGTACGCGGCTTTTTAGCACAGTTTACAGTATTACAATTCATAATTAAAACAGATTTTTTGACAGGGTTACGACTTAAAAAAAATCAACATGACCTATGTATTTACCCTTTTTGTATATTATTTCAAATTCGAAATCTTGCATAAATGTCCACCAGCGAGCAACACGAGGGGAGATATCTTTCTTATTCATTGTTGATTTGATGGAATTGCAATCCGTAAAAATTTTAAACTTTATACCTAACAGGTACACCCTAAAATGCTTTAGGGCATTAAATATTGCTAACGTTTCTAAATCATAAGAACAATAATTAGATTCTGCAGGGGATGTTCTTTTACTAAAGTAAGCAACGACTCGCTTATCGTTATATTGGTTTTGTACTAATATTGCGCCGTAACCTAATGAACTTGCATCAGTATAAAGTTCAGTGGGCATTTTTGGATTGAAAACTGATAACAAAGGTTTGGTTGATAAATGATGAATAACATAATTTCTAGCTTCATCATGTTGAGAACTCCATTCCCATTTTTGATTATTTTTAGTTAAATTAGTTATACAAGCTGTACGAACTGCAAAATCTGGTATAAATTTCCGAAAATAACTCGCTAGACCCATAAATTGCCTTACTTGTTTAACATTTTTTGGGATGGGGGAATGAACTAAAGCAGCAGTTTTAGCTTCACTTGGTCTGATGCCATCCTGGGATATATGTCTACCCAGGTATTCGATATTGTCAACGAAAAATTTACATTTTTTCAGGTTTATAGTAAATCCAGCTTTGCTAAGTGCAAAAAGAGTCTCTTCTAAATAACGCAGACCTTCCTCTATTGTTGTAAAGGGAATAAGTATGTCATCAATGTATACCAGAAGGAAATTTAAATGCTGTACTGCTTTTGCTATAGCCCTTTGAAATACAGAAGGTCCATTGCAAATTCCAAATGGCATTTTAAGAAATTCATAATGGCCATTAGGAGTGACAAAGGCTGTATACTTTACAGATTCTGGTGAAACCGGGATTTGGTAAAATCCATTTTTCATGTCTATTGATATAAAGAGTTTAGCTTTACCTAACCTATCAATTTGATCTTCGATGAGGGGGAGTGGGAATCGATCTTTTTCGATAAGCTTATTTAATGCCCTATAATCTATACACATTCTATCGCTACCATCTTTTTTCTTTACTAGTAACACTGGGCTAGCAAAAACCGAGTTACTTTCGCGAATTATGTTTCTCTTCAAAAGATCATTTACAATCTCATCTAATTTCTCCTTTTCAACCGGAGCCAATCGATATGGGCGATAATAAACTATGCCATTACTGTGTAATCGCAGACTCAGCTCACCAGTTCTTACGGTAGAACTGTCATCCAAGACAGAAGGATACTTGAGAAAAGTTTGTGTAATCTGTTCCTGTAGTTCAGGATTTAAATGATAAATTTTTGAGGTAAGTTCAGTCATATCAGATGATAAGGTGATCATATTTACTTTATTACTAATGTCAATAGATTTTCTACGTAAAAAACTCCCTGAAGAAGTTGTAATAATTTCTATGTCAGGATACTGAACCGCATTTCTACCTATAATTAAATCATAACTAAAATCTTTATCTCTTGTGACATATAAATCAAGTTCTAAAGAAACTTCTTCAAACTGAACAATCACCGTGACGGTGGCAAAACTATAGATTTTATTCTTGCCTATTCCGTTAATATAAGTAGGTGTAAGAAAAAAATGACAACCTATTTTTCGAGCTATTGATTCTCGTATTAAACTACAACTGGCTCCTGTATCTATAAGAGCTTTAATAGGAATATTATTAATACAAACGTTACAAAGTTTTATATCTGCTTGTCTAAAAAATTAACCTCTTTCTTGGGGGCAACTGTAATCGGAGACGTACTTGCTACTTCGGATCTTTGCTTATGGAAGCAGACGGATTCAGTATGACCATTTTTATTACAATATGTGCACACCTTAAAAACAAAAGGATTTTTGTTCGAGACTTGACGCGGTGTTGACGGATTTACTTTGTCTTT